TCAATATTTTCAATGGTACTCAAACAAGAAAAATGCTATCAAAGATTGAAGTAGCAGGTTCTATAGAAAATTCAATTCTCTATCGAATGAACACAGAACAAAGTTCTGGAAGTGTATCTGAGTAGCTCAAAAAAAGAAATGGTACTTTTTTTTGAAGCAATTGTACGACAATCAAAAACAATTTTTCTACCGTTTTGTTCGTTTAGTCTGATAGAGGGCACTCGATTTCATAAGGCTCCGTGCAGATCAAATTTATAGAAGTCTTTTTACCTGTAGAAATAGAATGATAAAATGCACCGCACAAGAAAGAAAAAAAGTGTTGTAGTTCCATCACGGAGCCATTTTGTTTCTATCTTTTATTTAAGCATTTTAAACTGAAAGTAAAAGGATAAGTCGAAAGCTCTTTTTATACTCTATAACCTACATATTAAACTTTTTTTCTGAATATATCTTGCTTTAGAGTATTTTTCAAAGTTTGTACAACACTAGAAAAAAAGGCTAAAAAAAGTAATTCCGTCATGACATCTACTTCGCTCATAAAAACCGTTTTACTTAACGGATTCATTCTAAATTTTTACCACAAACCAAGCGCTCTATCGCACAACTCTGATAAAAGTTTCGTCACCTTTTGTTCAATATTTGAGGAGAAACAAAGCCAAAAGTTGAAAAAGTAATTCCGTCACACGCGTTTAGGCCATCCCTAGTCAAAATTCTTGTACCTAAGATCTTCGGTTAAGAAGTGTCACAAGATCTTAGAAAAAACACCAAGAAGCTAAGATCTTGGATTCTTGAATCTTTCACTCAAATGAAACTCACTACCATGAAACATCCTGGCTTACTTTACTCAAGATATTGTCCAAGATCTTGTACTAAGAAATTTCAAGATCTGGAGTGATGTTAGCCAAGATGTTTCAAGATCTTGGATTTTTGAATCTGTCACTCAAGATCTTAACAGAAATTTCAAGATCTTCAGTGCATCCACTCAAGATGTTGCAAAAGCTGGAGTAACACGTTATATGTTTATACAATTACAAGCCAGTTATGAATAAAACAGTTCTAAATTATGTTATATCGTACCTACACCGACTTAATGGACAGAACAGGGAAGTAACGACCCATCGATTGGAATATATTTTAAAACGCTTACCTAATCCTCAATCTAATTGATACATTTTGACGGACTGATACGAAACTAATTAAGAGCTTATCAACAATCTTGTGAAATTGTACTCTATCGGATTGTACACGATTTATACTCGGACAATCTTACACATATAAAGCCTCATACACCTATGTACAATGGCAACTGCAAATACATATTTCCCAGGCAGACATTTTTTTAGACCAAACGCACTACTAAACGCGTTTTTCTGCACTAAGGACGCGTTTGAACACGTTTTCTTACAACTGAAACTCGTCGGACGCGGTAATCGGTGATAAATGCGTTTAAATACGTTAGAATCAAACGCGTTTGGCCGCGTCAAAATGCTGTGAAAATAAACGCGTTTTGGCGCGTTCAAATGACTAACACGTTCGAACGCATCCAAATTAAGCTCGTTTGGACACGTTAATGTCTCTCAAACTCATTTGACAATTTCCAAATGCAGCTGAACGCGTTTGGAAACATTTTGTGAAAGCTGCTGCTAAATGCGTTATAATCTAATGCGCCTCACCGGATTTAATTCCTGCAAATTCCTTCAACTTGCTTCAATTCGTTCAACTTGTGAACCTTGACTTGAAGATAGCCGTGGACGGCCGTGTGAGAGCATGGAGACTATCTGTAAACGTCAGCTGATTCTGAATTTAATTTTTAATTTTTTTCAAATTTAAAAATTTAACGCGTTCAGCAGGATGTTTTTTGTCACATTTCGGGCGTTCAAACGCGTTGATTATCGACGCTGTGAAACGCATTGATCAGTAACGCGTTTGAACGTCCGGAATGTGACAAAAAACATCCTGCTAAACGCGTTAGTTTCTATGAAACTTTAAACGCACTCTAGCGCGTTTTTGTCGCAGAAAACGTTTGCCTGGGTTTCCTCTGCTGAAAACATAAAATTTATTCTCTCTCACTTTCTTGCTTGATGTCATTTTTCTTTTTTTTTAATCTTTTTTCTTCGGTACGCATATATAGATACATACAAAAGACAAGAAAGTAAGAAAAAAATGAATTTTACATTTTTGTGGAATTATTCGTATAACAGGACAGCACTCACTTTGAAATTATGCTTAATTACATCAGCTTTACAACTTAAAGTACAGTTAACCGAGCCTAATTTGAACCAAAACAACCCTCTCCTTAGTAAATCTCTCTGATCCGTCTCCTATGGGAATTTCGAAATAATTTTTAGATCATTAAATAGCGAAGACTTTTAGCTGCAAAAGTCAATTCAATGACAATCATCTCTTAAAACATTCAAACATTCATGTTTGACATCTGTGAACTGCTGTCATGCCGTTAAGAATTTCATCATCAGAAGCAAGCATTCGAGTACTTACATCAAGTGCAAAAAGACATGTATAAATAGATTATAATTTATCGTATGTGAACGATCGGCTCTCCATCACACAAACTTTCGGTGGATTTTCCTTTTTGTAGAAATCACTTTCATCTCTTAGACTCTGCTCGTTTCTCGGTTATTTAAGAACTGTAGTTTCCTGTCAATAATCTCTCTGTCTGTTCCTAAGCTTTCTACTTCTTTTATTTCTGTTGTCTATAATACTTTTTTATCAGAATGTTTTGGTAATTTTCACATCATTTGTAGCCATTCGTAAATCGACTGCAATTGTGTGAAAAAGCATTATAGACAGCCGGGAGATATCTTATTTTCCTCAGAATTCCATGCTCTATCAGGCTATATGGTTTGCAGAGTTTTCTGACCAAAAACCAAGGGCTTGGTTTTCCAGCGGTCAAGTTTTTCAGAAACCCTATAATCAACTTTTCCCATGAAGCGACGATATGCATCTCATCTGATAGAAGATTCTTCGGGCTATTCAAAACAGTATTCAGATTGGTTCCAGCTTTTACTAAAAAGTCAAAAACAAAGAAGTTCTTGTGGTTATGACATATTGTACAGCATAGATAGCACCCAAACGCTTCTTTTCCATATCTTTAATGACTGGTCCCACCTAGGCATATCTTTGAAAGACTTAGTCATAGCTCAATTTGAAGCCCGTAAAATTCTTCATCGAACGATATATAAAGTAGACTGGTTAACAAGAAAATCAATGGATACTATAAACATGAACAACGGTGACCTACCTGTTTGCTGAGATGCTAGCGAGTATTTCGAATCTTAGACTAGCCAGTTACATTTTCTTAAGGCTATGTTATATATCATTTTGTAGCCCCCGATATTCTCTATCGAATGATATATATATTTCCATACAAAACGTCGAATTGGCGCGAGATTGAGAGCGAGATGATTGAAAATCGTTGTTTTTCCTATGTCAAAACAGCATATGTCAGCTGGTCTTTCAGAGAGATGGAACCCTTGGACAGAATCGATTTGCCTCAAAAATAGATAGGATTGTAGCCCTCGAGTTGGGGCAGTTTTCTATTGCAAAGACACTTGGCACTAATTGCTTATTCGTAGAGAACCGGCCTGGACAAAAGTCTGAAAACTACCGCAAATGATGTATCTCGAGCGCACTGAATATAATTCACCCCGCGTGTTTCGAACAAGAAGCTACCTGAGAGGGCGCGTTATATCACGTTTTGTAGACAATTGAAAACTGTAATTAAGTAGGAAATTACCTTGGATAAAGAGACAAGGGAAGACAGAAAGAATTGGTAGGCGAGTTAGCTGACCGATGAAGAAAATGCACTTACCAGCCAGTACTATTCGACTACGGGGTTCTCAGTAGACATTTACTTGAAACTGTATCTGATGGACTAAACGATGCAGAATTTGAAGCTCTATCTTCCTCGATAACTGAGATTGAAAACTGGTGGGCGGCAGATTAGGGCTCTTATTCGACGGTGTCCTTTACTTAATATGCACTGGTCAACAACTTGAACGGGAAGAAGCTTTCGAAGAACAATTACTAACGTCTATCAAACTACCGTGGCTCGAAGAGAAAGCCGAAAAGTCATTCATTGTAGTAGAATAAAGAAAATGAAAAATGATAATACCAAAATAAACGAAAATGTAAGCAGTACCTTTGATCTCTATAGTTGAACTATATTTTCTCATTTCTTGCTTATACTGTATAGAATTGCCATTTAGGGTGTGCAGCTAAGCAACAAAAGAGAACTATACTAACTCAGAGTTCACTCAAAAAACCAAGAAAGCCTACTTATACACTCTAAAACAGCTTTCAATCATCAGGAATTATGCCAGACACTGCGTTCTCTTCGAAAAAATTGCTCCAGTTCAAAAGTGCTACGCTACGCTCAATGAGAATAATTGCTACTCACTTAGAGGCTACTATAAAAGTAATTATCTTTGAAACCGTTATATGTGTAAAGATGAAGCTTTTAGAAAATGAATAAGTAATAGTCACTATCTATATTCCAACATTTCAGCTCGATCCGTCTAGCGGAAAAAAAGTCAGTTTTTCAACCTCTCTCATAATGAAATGGAAAAAGGAGACGACGGTAGCACGTCACAGTGCGACTACTCAGCAACATTCAATATTTTGAATGATGCTCAAACGAGAAAAATGCTATCAGAGTTTTAAGTAGTAGATTTGTAGAGAATGCCATTCTCTATTGAATGAGCCTAGAACCAACTCTTTGGACTAATGGGAAGTGTCTCAAAAACAAAGAACAACAGCAGCTGATTTTATCTCGGCCACCCGTTAATTTTCTCAGAAAATCTGCCTTCCTAAGCTCTCTCAGGTTGTTCTGGAATAACCATTGGAGCTATGGAACCCCGAACTTTGTTTTTTCTTATTATTCGAAGAAATTATGAAATTCTACAGTGATTTACACTTGGCTGTCATTGATTTTAACAGTTTCATCGGATACCTGTAGTCTGCTGTTGAGTCGAAGAAATTAATTACTGGGCATCTTTACTTTTATATCTGACGACACGCTGTTTTAATACCTGTACATATCTCTCCATCGATTCGTCTACTTTTCCATTATTTGTTTTTAACTCTTCGACACCACCAACTTTTCCATGATGATAATGTCTGAATCGGCCAAATTCTGCGTAGTTTGCATTGTGCTTATAGTTTAAGCCAGGCAACAAGTGAATCGTGACCATCATTGGAATATTTTTAGCCCGAATAAACATCTTTGGAGGCACGCGCTGTTTTTCATTTAAAAACACATTGCACTTTTCTATCAACAGGCTGTGTCGACGCTGAATGATGTCTAATTGATTTAGAAAGCAAGATAATTGCACTTTTTCAAACTGAACGCCACACGAATAAATATGCTCTGGATACGTTTTATCAAATAATTGAGCTAATGTTGTTGAACCATTCGAGACGAGATCGGCTTTTTCATTGTTCAATTGAAAATATTCATCAACATCAAAATAGCCCATCCATCGATTATAAGGACCAAATGTTTTGAGTGCATGATTCATCGATGCACGTTGAATCGTATTCCAATGTCTTCCTCTAGGGGCCGTGTATGGCCATCGGACAATCGTGACTAAATGTTTATCTAAGTATGGCTTGAGTAACTGATACGTTTTGTCATTACTCAAATTATCGTACAGATAAAAATGTTCAATTCCCAGTAATAAATGATATTCTATCCATTCTATCAGCTCTGCTGCCTTATTACGAATCATCGTGTAAACGGAAATATTATTATAAGTATGATGATAGACTGATACAGTAAAGTTCGATATAATTGAATGATTTGTTTCTCCATTAACAAATGTCACTTTGAATTTCTTATTCCTATCTTCTTTCGTTGGTATTGCACATGAAATTAATGGTTCAGATCTATACCGCTTAACTATGCCTTTTGTTATTGTGTTTGAGTGATCAAAATGGCATTCAAAATGAAGCCATGGCCATGCGAGTTCGAATCCGCTGAGAAAGAGTGATTTATTATGGACAGTAATATCAAGTATTGCACCATGCTGATAGCGAACAGAAACAGGAGTAATGATCGCATCCGATACCGTAGAATTGTTGACAATATTGAACGAGACAATTGATTTTTGGACAATATTGAACGAGACAATTGAATAATTGAAGCTTGTTTTGAATACGAATATGGGTATCAAAAGTATCACACAAATAATAGCAACGAGCAGATATGATTTCATTCACCTTCTCGTTCTCTCTTTATCAATAAAATTTGCATTCAATATACTATTTATTTTACTCTGAATAATTTTCTGGTGATGATAGCCATTTCAAACGATTGTATACATTTAAATAAGAAAGAAGAAAATGCCATTCAAATATTGCTAAATGCATTTTATCAAGAGTTTGCGTATTTAGGCGCAATGTTAAGCGATCTAATCTCGATTGGTAAATAGTAATTTACAGCGGGGCGTGTCATGAAATCCGGATGTTTTTAAGTTCGGGAAGACTTTTTATCCGGAAATCCTACTCCTCGTGCAACTCCACACTGTAAACTAGAAAATAACTTATAGAGTATCATAAACGATATTCTAGAAAAGTCCATACAAATTCCTAGACGAATTTCTACTTTCTTGAAAATAAACTGTTGATATTCAAGTTTCGATTTTCTGTAGGAAATCAAATTGACTTTCTATTATTTAGAAAATCAAGCATTTTCTAAAAGTTTGAAATTCGACGGATGAATAATAAAAGTTTGAAAATGCTTTAGGTTTTTCAAAGTCGATTTTCTATAAAATAAAATTTCAGAAAAATTTACAGTGCACCCGGATGTAATTTCATCCGGATTTAAAAGTCAGTAAAATTTCCCGATGAATTTCCCTCCATCAACTCCGGTAAAAAATATTCTGTATAAGTTTTTCACTTGCAATAAAGAGCAATGCAGGTCCGATAGTTAATCAGTTGTATATTTGTCTTGAATCGTACATCAAGTAAGTCAAGTATGACTTAATGGGGTAAGTCTACAATAGGAAAAATGGCTCATATTTCTAATAATATTTAGTGTTATTATTTTTATCTTCTACTTTTTTAGTTCAGAAAACGTAGTACTGTAAATATGATGAAAGTGTTTCTTTGTACTGCAGCAAGTCGAAAGTAAACTATTCTCAGCTCTGTCAGTAGTTTTAAAAAGGAATAAAGTGGATCTTTCTATAAATCTCAGTTATATTTTATATAAAGTACCCACCGTTCACTCGAACTGTCTCATAATGTAAAAGTAGCAAAAGAACACTATTTCACTATGTACAACACAGACAATAGTGCACAATAAAAACATAGAATTCAAACCTATACATAGCAAGAAGCATAAGAAAAGAATAAGTTCATCTGAACTAATAATAATGAAAGAAAGTAGTAACTACTCTGATGACATTTTTTCATGGAAACAATAGTTCACTAAACACACGTACAAACACAACACCGTTAAATTTTATTGTAATGCAACCGAAATTCCACTAAATTCCAGTTTTAAGTAACTATAGCAGTCGACCGATATCAAAGTGTGTGCGGACATGCCTTATGAATGACACCAACTCCAAATGTACTTTAATAAGGAAACTACTAGTATTACTATTATACTCTATGACATGCGGACTTGCATTGCTTTTTATTATAAGTGACAAACTCATCTAGAATTTTTTTCCCGGACTTGAAAGGTTTTTTAAGAAGCTACCGGGGTTGATAGAAGGAAATTCATCCGGATTCCAGCATGTTCGGCAAATGATTCATCCGACATGTTGGGTTCTGGATGAATAGTTTTCGGATGAGTTAAAAAAAGACTTTTAATAATCCGGATATCATGACACTTCCTCATTTGTAGCTAAACTCAGCTAGCATTTACACACAATCGAAAAACGAGACTACCAGTAGAATCGTATATCTTTCTTTCTTTACCAACACCTTTGAAAATACGTGATATGTTGAAATCATGCTGAAAAAGAATGTTCCTTTGCATCAAACAGAATTCAAACTATACAAAAAAGCTATAAAAAAAAGTCAACAAAACGGCATCTGATAGTTATTCAGTTGATAATAGTCTACTCATAGTCAATTATTTGTTGACGACATGAATAGTCAAGCTAAAAAGCATATAAGTGCAAACGTCTCATTATTCTTAAAAGTTGGCGACTAACACACAACAAACAGTGTTTAGTATGAATGATGATAGCTCAGTCTAGGTGTACATTAATTAACTTTTACAATGCTACACTCGAAATTAGATGTATTAATATTCCGCCTAAATACACAAACTCATGACAATATATGGATGAAATCAGAAAAGATCTCGAAAAAATTAACTAATTAATAGCAAACACTCTCAGACCCGCGTACATTCGACGTTCCGAACAGTACAGTCTTTGGCAAAACGATTCTTTAATGCAAACCTTTTCCAACACTTTGTTATTTACAAGAATAGGGACAGATGTAAACAAAAGAGAACAAGTTCAGTTTTCTAGTCTCGTGCTTATTAATGCTTACTTAATCCTTTTTTGGACTTGCTCTTTCTCTTCTTTTATCAATAAGTTGTAGAACAAATTTGTGCCCAATGTCATCGTTAAACGAATTGCATGTATACATGAATAGTCTTTGAGACCCTATCTACATGAGCAACGATCAAAACGAGCTGCCGATGATCAACGAACGAATTCATCAGTTCATGATTGGCAGTCATTGTTGCAACAATGTGAATACATTTATATTTTATTTAGTTTCCACTATCGCATAAGAGCATCTCATTCCACGTACGACGTGACATTTCTAGGTTTACAGTTAGAATGAAGTTGAAAACGATACCTGTTATATAATAAAAATAAATGTCACATGCTTTCGTTCCGGACCCGTCATTATTCTAAGATCTTTTATGCAGAAATGCTTATTGACATTTTTTCGGGATCTTTTCTGTCTTTTTTCTTTTCGAGATCCATTCTGTTAATTTTCTTTTAGCAAATCTTTTATTTTTACGTCCATAATATATGTTTACCAATGTGTGAATGGCATTTTCTCCTTCTTATTTAAATACACATAATCGTTTGAAATATCTGTCATCACCAGGAGGTGATTCAGAGTAAAATAAATAGAATATTGACTGCAAATTTTATTGATAAAGAGAGAACGAGAAGGTGAATGAAAACGTACTGCTTTATGCTATTTCTTTTGTGTGATACTTTTCATACTCATATTCGTATTCAAAACAAGCGTTAGTTAAGTAAATATAGTACAGAACAGCACAAAATATCATGTTGTGCAGTTGGAGAAGTACAACGTATAAAACGTCGGCAGATCGAATCTAGGAGAAGTACTTCAAAAATTGTTCTAATCAAAAACTCTCCTATAAACCGTATTTCTCCTCCGCATGTTTGTTTAATTTATTTAACTAATAAATATATCATAGATAAATGCAAGCTTTCAAATCTCTGCTAAGATCGTCATATGAGGCAAATATGACACTAGTGAACATTTTCTCAGTATATATAAGACTCTTCCACTTTACTGTGCTTTTTCTTTTTTCCTTTTACTGTAGTGCACACATGATATAGAACATAACATCCCAAGCACGAAAACATAAGATAAAAGATCTAGATACATTCGCTGGAGTATCGCCCGATTCTGTATCAAAAGTATCTAGATAAAAGGGTAAAAAATATCCAGTTAGCTAGGTACATCGGATTTGATCCGATTACACGATACAATAGGTGCATCTGGTAAGAAATTATGGTTGATAGAAAACAATACGAACTAGATACATCTAGCGATTAAGCGTACGATTCATCTAGCTGTTTAAAAAAAAAGAATCGCTAGATATAAAAAGTGACATAATTAGTTGTAAATCGAGATGAAAAAAAAAGAAACACAGCTCGTGCATAGATTTCAACTCAGTCCACACTCATTCTCTTTCTTGTTATAGATAAAAATAATTTACTAAATTTAAAATAACTAATTAACAATAATGAGCGTTTCCCACCAGGATGGAAGGGAACATGAAATGTTGGAAATTTAATTTTCTAAAATTTTTCTGCTGGCGTTCGGTCTCTAGCAGCCGATCTCCAGACTAAAAAACGTCTTGTAGTGTTTTTTATCCTAAAGATCTGGTTGCACAAAGCTGAGCCTAGCAGACAAAATTTAGAAAATTGTTGTAAACTTTATTTAATAGAAGAATTATTTAATAGAAGAAATGTTGAAAAAATCAGTACAGCTATGATTAGAAGGAGGCGAACCCATTACATCTTAACATAAATTGATTGAGGACAGAGGACAGCACAATAATACATATATAGAAACGATACATGAGGACAACATAAAAAAGTGAAAGTAATGACAATAATAGGATTAAAAATAAAAGAGACTAACTGATGAACAAAGGGAAGAAAAGGATATCATGAGATTCGAATCTTTGTGTGTCACGAATAAATGTAATTACGATATTATATAGTTCATTCATTTCTGTTACGTTTAAAGATGTTGCAGGTTTTAGATAGAGAATGTGTTCAAGAGTAAGGGTATCGTTTACTAGAGCGTTCAATTCATTTTCAAAGATAATTCGTATCTGCTGGTAACTCCAAGAAGCAATACTGTACTGTTTCAGCTTTTCCACAAGCACATTGAGAGCTACTAACTAAGTTCTTTTTATACAGGTGATCATTCAAGCGAGACAAATTTACGCGCATTTGATTAAAAATCATATCATATTTTCTTTCAA